GAGTTGCAGTGAAACGCATGTACATACTGCAGACGTCTTGAGACCAAAGCAGCAGCTAGGAAAAGCTCGATTGCACCTAGATCCCCCAGCTACTTCGCTTTCCAAACCCCTAAACCCTAAACCCCTAAACCCTAAACCCTAAACCCGTAAACCCTAAACCAGGGGTTCAGGGTGGAGGACTCCAGGGTATCAGGGTTTCTGCTTGACGACCCTCTCATGGCCGAAGAAATCGTCAAAACTGAGCTAACTTCTTAAGACCCATAACTGTAACCTTCCTACAGGAAATTTCAGAAACCTTGCTTGAATTCTATATAATTTCTAGTTGTTGAAATGCCGGGTCAATGCAAGGTGCTGGCGTCTTACAATCTCTGAGGTTTCTGTCGCTCTAGGTGGGGCACGTCTGGGCGTAGGTTCCACGGAAGACCAGCCCAGACTCCTACCCTTAAAGGCCCCCAAAACGGGCGGGCCAACTTTCCAGAGACCCTCACCTGCAAACCTCCAGACACTAGACTCCACGTTGCAGCCTGGCCTTGTTGCAGAGCTGCCAGTCATGCGAAGTGTGATCAGGGGTGCTAGTTTGCTTGTTTCTTCATGGGGCATGCGCGCATTGTTCCGAGTCACGCAAACCTTTCCACTTCGAACAGCTGATGTCCCGCTGGCGAGTCACCTGATGACTTGGTTCGTTTGAAATTCCATGAGTGGGAACTCAGGAAGCCCTTCGTCGAAGCTGGTACGGTTCCTCTGATCACGAACATGATGCAGCTGCTATAGGTGGTTGTGGTAGTTGCGTGATGATGAAGCTTAGCTCCCGGGGGCTCGCTGCTGACATAGTTGCATGAACTCTGAACTCGTTCTTGTGATGATCAGACAGACCTCTTACCCAAGCCCGTACCATGTGGCCAGGCCAAGGGGAAGGTGCACGCTCCGGACTGAGACAGCCCCCACTGTTATTATAGGGGCCTTAAATCAGAGAATAGGGTTGGGGGGGGGGTATATTGTACTATCAATACTATAATAAGGAACCCAAAATCCTTATTCTAACCTTCAAGGCCTCTGCAGTGGTTCAGTAGTTCTTGCTGTGTTTTGAGAGCTGACTTTATGAGGCTACTTGCTGCAAGAAGTCGTGGAGTCGGTGACTGCACCATGCATTCAGCTGGCCTTCCTACTGACGGCTTACGCACAACTCACTAAACTGTTGAAGTGGCATTTGGGGTCCAGCTCCCTTCTTGAAGCCGTTGTGGGCCGACTTCGCCATGACGTGAAACCCTACAGCCTTCAACAACAAAAACGAA